CATCATGAATCTACAATGTAATGAAGAAATTTTGGCTGTTGTTTTTCATTTGTTTTGTCTCGTTTGCTAATTACCTGCGTGCCTTTCTTTTTGTTTCGATGAATGAATAAATCAACATCGCACAATGATGATGATCGATTATAGAAAAAAACTTTTGGTCACTTGACCTAGAAATTCTGACCATATATATATAGAGAAAAATAAAAATAAACATTCAACAGAATCCATTAATTATCAAAAGAAAAAAAAACACGTCAACATGTATATTGACCAATGCCGGTCTATACTGATTCGTTTGTGTTTCATTTCAGCAAAAATTCATATGAAATTTTTTTTTTTTTCAAAAAATTCCGTAAATCGATTAATCGTTTGTTTTAAACTTTAAAAAAAATTGCTACAACGAATTTTTTTATCGGAAAAAAAATTAAACGTGTGTGTGAAACAAAACGAAAAAAAAAAATTCGAAACCAAATGGATCGAATTCTTGTTCTAGTGTGTGTGTGTGTGTGTGAAAAAAAAAAAATGGAACCAAAACGAAAAAAAAAAAAATCCACGAAAACGAAGAATAATGGTCAAATGAACAGTGCACACTGTGTGCAAGCAAACGAAAAAAAAAGGAAACGAAACAATAAATGATGTATCGATTTCGGATTCAAATAATTTATCACCCAGAATCCAAGAAAAAAAAACAACAACGTAAAACAAGTAATGTTTCAAAGATTCTTGGATTGTCATTACAAAATGTTCATTCTCTCATTCTCTCTCTGCGTGTGTGTGTGTGTGTGTCGTTGTTAGTTTCATTTTCTTATTAGATAAATTCTCTTTCCATCTCTCTCTCTCTCGGGTTATATTATTTTAGCTATTTATTTCGATTGTGTCACGTCAATATATAAAATATATACGTTTACGTAATAGTAACAATAAAAGCAGTAGTAATTGACGCCATTGGATAACTATTTCACTTTTTGTTGTTGTTGTTGTCGTTGTTGTTGTTGTTGTTGTTGTTGTTGTTGTTTGTTGTTGTTGTTATAGCTGTATATATTGAAAATATTATGAATGATACATGGAATCGGAATATACATTGAATTGTTGTCGTAGATTCGATTCCGATGGAATGAAAGAATAAAATCGAGATTCTCGTTTCTATTTCACAATTCTATTTTCACATGTCTTTTATTCGGTGTGTTTGAAACTCAACTAAATAAAAACAAAACAAAAACAAAACAAAATAATAATGACAATAATTGGACCATTAATATAAATTATTATTATTACACCAATGTGTGTGTGTGTGTGTGTGTGGGTGTGGCACGTTGTGGATAAACGTAATGTTTGGATTTTTTTTCCCCGTTCTGTTAACGTTTCGGTATTTATTTATTGTTGTTGTTGTTGCTGTTGTTGTTGTTTTCGTTTTGATTTTGGATGTCATCATTACATTATAGTCTATATCGATTATTGATTGTATAAATTATCATTGTAGAGTTGTTTTTTGGTTATTGGAAGTGGCACATAAACACACACATTATTATTATTTGTCATTTGAAGCTATAATTTTAGATTAGTTGTTCTGGCGTAACAACTTTATATTTCGGATTGGTGTGTTTGTGTGCGGTATTCCTCTCTCTCTCTCTCTCTCTCTTTCTATTTCAAAAAAATCTGAAAATCATCTGAAAATAAAATATCATCATCGATGATTATTGATGATGGTGATGAAATCGATGATGGTTATAGAAAAATCAACACAAAAAAAACTTTGAAATTCTCATAGGAAATGTGGATTTTTGCTGATGACAAGAGAAATAAAACAAACAAAAAAATTTACTACACCAACTCACACATTTGGTCGAAATTTAGTGGCAGTACCGGAAAAAAAATTTCATTGTTTTTTTTACATTCGAAAAAAATGACATTATTTATTATTTAAAATAATGGCTAATAACATTGCAGCGGTGGGTGGGTGTTGGAGATGAAAAAAAAAAAAAAATCACCACCACTATTTCACATTATTCATCCACCATTCATTTATTTATGATCAATAATTCCAAAGAGAGAAGAAAGTATTAAAAAAATGACCAACTGCTGTTGCTGCTGCTGCTGCTAATCTGCTGACCGGCTTGTATGACAACAACAACGGCAAAAAAAAAAGTAAAACAGATTAAATACATTGGCATCAGCTTGGAAAGAAAAAATCTATCAGATAGATAGATTGGATCGATCGATCAATCTATGTCTCATATATATATATATCGATTGTTTGTTTTATTGGATAACAATTTTTATTCTTTAGACACACACATAGAAAAAAACAAATTATCAATAACATACATATACTAGCACCAATGTTTTCATGATAATAAATGGACATCATCAACAGGATGAAGAAAAGAAAAAAAAATAACCAAATCAATTGCTCCTAGAACATGTGTGTGTGTGTGTGTTGTTTGTTGTTGTTGTTGTTGTTGTAGCTATTGGTAAAGATTACATTATTTACAAAACAACAAAAAATAATATTAAAAAAAAGGCATAACGATTACGAGAAAATGAAGCTTTTTCTTTTTTTTTCTAGTAAATCCTTAAATCATTTCATTCCTCCTGTTTTATATAACTAAAACAATCATAAACTATAAGTCATTCATTCATGAAGACCAGATTTTCTCATTCTTTTCTTTTTTTTTTTTTTGGAACACTAAATGTGCGTAAGTTGTAAGAAAAAAAAAATGCAAAGCCTTTCGATAAACAAACAGCCAGAAATGAGAAATTCTTGGTTACGGCCGTAAATATACACCGTATGTATAGTGATGTTGGACATTATTGGTCAAATATTGAACAACAATCAACAACAACAACAACAACAACGACAACGATCGATTGATTTATTATATGGATACTATAAATCATTTAATGTCTTGGCCATTGGCTTTTTTTTCTTGCGATACGATTCTGATCAACATTGCTTATTGGATTATTATCATTATTATCGTTGTTTTTCGAAACGCAGAAAAAAAATTGGCTAGTAAGAAAAGAAAAATTTTCCGGCATTTTTGTTTTCGGGAACTGATTCCATATTTTTTCTTCTTTTCATAATAATAACGACAACGATGTGCACAAGTGGTGATGAATTCATTTGAATTTTGTTTGTTCCATCACTAAAAAAATTCAAATCCGATTATTATTTGTCAAATTCGGATGGAAAAAAATTGCTTCAAAGAAGAAAAAAAAAATCGTTTGTTGCCAACACACACCCAGGCACAAAACTAATCTGTGAATAAATGAAAATAAAAAAAAAAAAATGTAATCAGATTATAGAATAAATATTGCTTGTTCACTATCCATCATTATCAATTCTGAATTTGAAATGAATTTAATTTTCAAAAATTCAAAACAAAATTGGAAAAAAAACATCATGAGAATAGAATGTCAATTTTTTTTTTTGAATCCAAAAAGTCAATGGTCATTTTGTACGTTCAATCATTCAAATTATTTATTGCTTTTTTTGCAAATATCAAAAAAAAATTTGTTTACACAGAGAGAGAGAGAGAAACCGAATCAAAAAGCCATTATTCATCACAACCGACCACCAAACACCACACACACAGAATTGATAATGACCACCATAAACAGAAAAAAAATGATTCCATTTTTCAACATTCATTGAATTTGATTTCAACAACAACAACAACGACAACAAAATAAACAAAAAACACGTTTTCATTTTTTTTTATTATTTTCTTCTTTTCGGTCCATGAGTTTCCGGAATGGCGGGGTAACAGGAAAAAAAAACATTCCCATTTCTCATTTCAAATTTTATTCCATCATCACGTATGGCTATTATGATTATTATTATTATTATTATGGCGAAAATAATTTGAGATTCACCATTCCACCAAATCGATTGAGGGGTTCTCTCCCTCTAGCCAACATTTGAAAACGTGCAAGCGAATAAAAAAAAATGCAATGGTCAAGAATCCATTTTTTCGTTTCTCTCTCTTGGTTATGGAATCCAAAAACAACCAGAATCAAAATGTTTTTTTTTTGGGCGAAAATATTCCACACACACATGCAGAATCAGTAGTAGCAGCGGTGGTATCGATTCCAGTGAAGCGAAAAAAAATAGAATCTAAAAAATTCTAATCGAGTATTTTAGATTCTGCTTGCTTTGGGATTTTTTTTCTTCGTTTTTCATTCATTTACATTCACTATTCATATATATTCATATATATTATGATTATCTTAAAAAAAAGAAGAATTTTCGCAAGAATCGTCATCATTATATTCACAAGTTGTTCATGTTCGTGTCGTTGTTGTTGATTATCTCTCTCTCTCTCTCTCTATTACTCGTATCATTTTTATATATGGATGGATGGATGGTTGGTTGGTTGATTGAGGAATATCATTTGAAATTTGATTCGATTCGAATCGCGCGATTGAACCACGTTCTCAATTCCCGTTAGGGATAGAATCGAATCGAATCGAAAAAAAAGGAAAGAATATCTTTTTTTTTATTTATTTCGCCCACTATAGAATATTTGTTGTTGTTGTTGTTGTTAGCCACAAATTGCAATTTATTTTTTTTGCCATTTTTTTCATAGTTCAAAATTCCTAAAAAAAAAGCCAATCATCCAGACCAAAGAATACCATCTCGTGAAAATATCATTTTTATTTGTTGTTTCCATATGAAATCGAAATCAACGTTTCATATGATCTAAATTATTATTATTCGAGTTTTTGATATGAAAAAAATGATAAATTTTTCAGAATTTAAAATTCAAAATCGAATTTTTTTTTTCTTGCTGCATTTACATGCTATTGAAACGTATGAACATGTGAAGTATGTGTAAATGATCAAAAGTACTTGCAACGTATGAATAGAGATTTCCAGATTACAGCTGTATTTGGCTAGTAAATTCTGGAATTTTCTTGACACATTATGTTTTACATGCGTTCTTTCTCATTGTGACATTCGAATTGAATCGAATAAAATACAAAAACGATACTGTTTTTTTTTGTTCAGCAATTTTTTATCGGTCACAATTTTCGATTTTTTCCATATTTGATTTTTTTTTGTAATCGATCTCATTAATAACAACAACTATGAGTACCGTTTCAGACAATAATAAAGCTCAGGTATGTTTGATCATCATCATCATCAGCTTTTTTTTATTAATCTGATGATTATATCACAACTTTTTTCAGGCATTGTCTGCTAAAAATAAAGGCAATGATCTTTATAAACAACGAAAATTCGATGAAGCATTGGCCTGTTATGATCAAGCGATCGAATTGGATCCAACCGATATCACTTTTTTGAATAATAAATCGGCCGTCTATTTTGAACAAGGTAATTATGATGAAGCAATCAAACAATGTGAAAAAGCAATCGAAATTGGTCGAGAAAATCGTGCCGATTTCAAATTGATTGCTAAAGCATATGCCAGGATGGCCAGCTGCTATCAACGTAAAGAACAATATGAAGATGCGCGAACATTTTTTCAAAAATCATTAACCGAACATCGAACTCCGGAAACATTGTCCAAATTGAGTGATGTTGAAAAAATAATCAAAGAAAAAGAACGTAAAGCCTATATTGATCCAGATAAATCGTTGGAGGAGAAAAAATTGGGTAATGAAATGTTCCAGAAAGGTGATTATCCTGCCGCAATCAAACATTATACGGAAGCTATCAAACGAAATCCGGATGATGCTAAACTTTTCAGTAATCGTGCCGCCTGTTATCAGAAGCTAACTGAATTTAATTTGGCTTTAAAAGATTGTGAAGAATGTATTCGCCTTGAACCAACTTTTGGTAGGTCATCATCATTTTAATAGTAATTGTCTCTATTAAATCTCTCTATTTCAGTGAAAGGTTATATTCGAAAAGGCTATGCTTTGTTGGCCGCAAAAGAACATGCAAAAGCTCAAGCAGCTTTTCAGAAAGCATTGGAAATTGATGAAAACAACAAGGAAGCAATCGAAGGCTATCGTAAATGTTGTATGTCTTCATCGCCGGAAGATATTCGTAAACGAGCAATGGCTGATCCTGAAATACAAAAAATTCTAGCTGATCCTGCTATGCAAATGATTCTTCAACAAATGCAAAATGATCCAAAAGCATTACATGAGTATGTTAATTGTTAAATAGATGAATTATTGGCTCTTACTAATTTCATTCTTTTTTTTCACTTGAATTCAGACATTTAAAAGATCCAGAAATTTCAAGCAAAATTTTCAAATTGATGGAAAGTGGAATAATTTCGGTTCGCTAACTTGCAAAATTGAAAATTTTTTTTCTCCAAAACTCAGTTTTTTATTCGATAAAATACAACTAACAATAAGCAACACATGCATAGCTGAATTAGTGTGTTTTCCAGCCAAGCCTATTCTATGCTCGATGTATTTTTATGGTCACTTTTTTTATAATAAAAAAAAAATGAATAAATGACATTTATGGATTATCTCTGAAAAAAATTGTCAATTTCATTACTAGTGCTGCCATCTGGCCATTGTTAGATTGGATAATAATCGATATATCGATTTTTTCTGTTTCAAATGTTGATTGTTCGATCACATGTGGAAATTAAAAAGACAACACAACAAAAACAATGGCAAAAAGTGAAACACCAGGAAGATTAATTTATGAAGCACCCGAACAGATGGTACGTTTGATTAAAATGATTAAAAGATTATCAATATCAACTACCATACTATCGGCTGGTGTACAACCATTTTTATATCCAAAATTAATTGCTACTGGTTCATCATTAACGATGGGTTTCGCAACGGTCACTTGTGCCGGTATATTTATATCGCCATTAATTTTGAATTGGTTCACAAAAAGATATGTAACAAAATTATATTATAATGAACAAAATGATCAATTCATTGCAAAACATTTAAATCTAATAAATCGTGATGTACAATTGGCATATAAATCAAATCAAGTTCAAGTACCAGAAATGTTGGGCATTTTCACCACATATATCGTGGATGAGATGAAGAAAAAACGACCATTATTTGTCGATCCAAATATGGTGATCGATATGCATGCCTATAAACGAATGCTTGGTTTTGATCGTCCAGTCAATCTGAGGCCTGAAGATTTTCTACAAAACAACAACAACAACAACAACATGATCGTAAATCGTAAACACAATGATTTTTCTTTATTAATTTTTGTATTTATAAAATTAAACAAAAAAATCGAAATATAATTGTTCGTAATAACAAAGCACATAATTTACTCAATAAAAAAAAAATTTATAGTAGAAAAAAAAGATACAAAATGATATAATTTGTATGCAATAAAAAAAAATCAATTCGTAAATTTGAAATTTCAATAACCGTAATATTTTAATGAATCATCATTGATGATGATTGTTCTTGGAGAAATTTTTCAAATATCTCTTCCGATAAAGACTTCTGTTGTTCTGACTGCTGTGATTCACAATAATTACAACGTGGAATCGTACTGAGATCGTAATGAAACCAATCAATTTCTTTGATCAATATTGTATGACATTGGAAATCTCTGATTTCGAATAGCCAATCAAATGAAGCAAATGAATCGATTAGATTCGATTGGCCACCACCATTAGTTGGATTGGAATATGCCATCGATACACCAAAATGATCATAGAATTCATTTTCAATCTGATCCAAAGTCCATAATGGATGGCCATTATTGCTACTAATACAATGAGGAAATACAATTTTCTCATGCAATAACATAACTGTCAAACATTTGGCTGCAAATTCACACGATTGATTCAATTTGACGATTAATTCATTATTATCATCTTTGATAATTTGAATCATTTTTCCAATTTGTTGATCACAAAATAAGCTTAATCCAAATGAAAATCCAAGATGATTATGAAAATGTTGTTTAAGTTCATCGAAAGTAATCATTCCATTTGATGATCGATGATGAACAATAATGGTAAAAATTAGGTGAAGAACACGTTGACGCCATGAATGAGAGAATTTATTAAGGAAAATAGTACTTGATGTATAGATGAGACAATAATTTTCAAACGAGGAATTGACAAGAATTTTTTCAAATAATTTCGATAATGATTTTATGCCCAAATTATCCAAACTAAATGATTCATAACGACGATGATAATGATAGATTAAATCATAGATTGGTATTGCAACATTTCTTTCATTATGATGATGATCTGAAATTTCTGATTCTCCATATGATATGACTGCCATTTCATTGAATATTTTCAAGAATCGTTTACCCAATTCCATCAATTGTAAATCTACACTTAACATTAATCGATCATGAAATGGTAATGAATGTGTCATGATTTCCAAATCACCACCACTATGATTGATAATTAGATTCGATAAACGGCAATAGTTCATTTTTACATTCAATTTTTTATGGATCAGCTGAGAAAAATCTTCACGAAATTTTGAACAATTTATGGAAAAATCTTGCATCGATAAAAGTGTCTTTTTCAAGTCTGTTTTGATTACATTAAATTCATCTAGTATTGCGGAATTCTGAACCAATGGATAACTGAACAGTGCTAATCGTCGATTTTTATCATAAATAAATTTCACTAAATTTGGTCTCAAATCAATAGCCGTGATCATATCTTCAATTGAACATGCACCATAAAAAGCGGGATCCAAGTCATCAAAATAATTTGGATCCGATAGATTGAATGGATAAAGTCTAGCCAAATGTGACATGAAACGAAGAGCTTGTTCTTTGAAATTCAACGCAACGATACGATGATAACCATATGAATAGATATTGAATTTTTTTCCACATGATTCCAATAATTCAATGAGATCTGAAAATCCATAATCACGAGGAATGATATTTTCATCAAAATGACGACGATATTCTACAACAAGATCACTTAATTCAATTGATGGAAAACATGTTGTTTTATTCGATGTTTGATTTCTCAATAAAGAATGTAAATTCAACATGAATTTTTTCAATAATTTTGATCGTTTACTTGATGATGATGATTGTTGATTGTGATGGTCCGATGATTCATTGAAAACAATAAATTTTGTTAAAATTTCTTGTTGATCAATTTCAATTTCCATATTACGAATACTGACATTAGGAACACAAGTAATTAAATGTTCAAGCATCACTTTTGGTCCATCATTATCGTTGATATCATCCAATTCTGTTTCGAATGTTTCAAGCCAACAATCGGGAAATGAATTCAACGGTATTTTACCATCATGAGATGATAATAGAAAGCACAGTCTTCGACAAAAAAAATTGAAATCAATATTAATACTGAAGATTTGATTAGAGAATAAGAAATTATGATTTTTCGATTGTTTATAATTTTGATTTTGTGAACATATTGTACATGCGGCTGCACGTTTAACAAAAGATTCACTAATCGTCGGTTGACTAATAGTAGTAGTAGTAGTAGTAGTACGAATTGTGGGTCGAGATTCAGAATTGACACGATTCAATGATTGCTGATGATCATTAATTTGACGACTAGAATAATGATTCACAAATGATGATGATGATGTATTTTGATTGGATTGAATAAAATTTGGTTCAAATTTAGATTTGAGAATATGGCCATAAAATTTTCGATTATCAACACGTTGATGACAACGTAATGCATCGGAACGGCATTTAAATCGCACAATTGCTTCATGATTTATCATATCAAGATACGTGATGCGTCCACCATTATTGCCAATAATTCGATTTAATAAACCTTTAATTTGTTCTTCTTCCGCAGCCGATGGAAGATTTGAAATTCGTAATGATGTCACTAATTGATTCCAAAAAATGCCGTCAATTAGAATTCGAGTTCCAAATAAAATCACTTACTGATAAAATCAGATTGATTATCAATCAGCGGATGATGATTCATTTGTACATTGACAGTATTTGTCAAACAAAATTGATCATAATCAAAATGATAATGTGAACTTTGCAACAGTGCTGACGATACTTGTTGATGATGAAATAGAATGACCAATACACCAAGACGATTTTTAATATCACTCAATACAGGTACAAAATTTATATCACCTAAAAAAATGGATTCGAATCAAATGATCATGAAAAACAATTTCTAATCATCGAATATTGGATACAAACTTGAAAACAATATAACAGCACAATTTTGTCCATTCGATTGTACAAAACGTAAAATTAATTGTTTCAATTTTTCATCGGCAGCGTTTTTGGCAAAAGAACTAACATGAATTATATTGACTTGTGTATTATTCAATTCGTTGATCACAGTGGAAGCAAAACTAGGTACATCACAGACAATAGAAAATTCTTTCTCAATCAGATTAAATCGTACGATAAATGAACGTATTTTTTCAATCAAATTCGATGGACTAACACCACGTGGAATTGAACAATTTTCAATATCCCAAAACACACCAACTGGTTTACGTTGATTAACAATAAAACGGCGATAATCTTGTAGCTGAAGCCAATATTGATTATTAAAATTAACATTCACATGTGCATTGAATTGATTTTGATGATCAGAATGATTCATGGTCGATAAAATCATTTGATTTTTGGCAGAATTTGTTTGTTGAAATATGGAAAGTCGATGATATTCACAATTACTCATGTCTTTGTTGTTGTTGTTATTGTGGTCGCGTGAAGCAAATTTCGTTTCGAGACACGATATAGACATGATAGAGATTCGATGAGGTGGAAATAGTCAAAAATTTCAAAAATTTGAAAATATTCGAAAACAAAAAAAAAAAACAACTAGAAATTCAAATTCAAAAAAATAGTATATATTTAATTTAAATTTTAAAATAAAATGATGACTAGTTATTGCGTATGTAAAAGTAAATTAATTACATCATATTGATGATGATGGGCTTATAATTGATAATAATAATGATCAATCGAATCAAGGCAAACAATTAAATGATAGTAGCAGCTTTAACAACTTGGAATCACATTGTTTTGACCAATTTTACTTAAAATAAATATTATTTTTTTGATTTTGATTTCTTATCATTTTTATTATTATTATTATCATCATTTGTTGTGTGCGTTGTTGTTTGCGCCACTGTCATATCTTCATCATGTTGTAGTGGTTTAATCAATTTACAATCAATCATCAATGTGGCCAACATCGGTAAACGCCATTTACCTTTTTGTTTAGGTTTTGGCATGCCAAATAGAATGAATTTGAATGTACCAACTCTTGGTGGATTGATGGTGAAAATTGTTTTGAAACCATTATCTTCACGTATGATAATGTTTCTAGTATCCATTTCCAATGAATCAGAATCATAAAGTGAATAGGTGATTAACATTGTTTCTATTGATTCCATTACTAGACGTCGTCGTCCACCCCATGTAACAATGATTGGTCCTTTTTGATTAACCATTTTGAGTTTATAATCATAAAATTTTTGTGTCAATCCCCATGGTAATTCATTCAATGGAAATGGTTCAATATATTTTCGGGCTTTTGTACATTCCAATAGAATCATTATTATTGGATCTAATGGCTGTGATAGGTCCTGTTGACTACCTTGCATTTCTCTTTCTGGTTTGGCAAATATCTACAGATCAAAAAAAAAAAAAAAAAAAAATAGATTCATAAATTTAAACATTACAAATCATCACCATTATCTTACTTTAAGTATAAAACGGCCAGCTAATGGTGGCTGTACCATAAATGAACCAACAAGACGATCTTCTTTCAATTGACAAAAAACATAATAATTAAGTGATGAATTTTCTTGTTCATCAGCCGCATATAATTTATATTTATAACGCATTGCTTCGTGGCTACCAATTTTCACCTCTGTAGATATACGAAATTCTAATGGATTATGAATTCTAGATCGTATGCTTAGATTATATTCAAAAAAATGTTCCATCACTTTAGGTTGGGCGTTGAATTCATCCAATTTTATTGGTTTATCCAATAGTTGCCATCTGTATGATGAATAGTTTGGTTAATAGAAAAAACAATCGATTCACAAAACAAAAAAAAATTTTTACCTCTCATAATTTTCTTCCACATCACTATATGGAAAATGTGTCCATATCAAAACGGCTGGATCGGTAAGAAAATAATGTTCATTAGTTTTGGCATGAAATTCTCCGGAAGCATCAGCATAACCAGCCGCCAATGTTAGATCAATAAAACGCCATGAACTCAACACAAATGCAGCATTCCATGATGAGATAGCATCTTTGCCTATTGTGTTTTTTTTTTGTTTAATTGAAAAAAATTAAGTTAAAATTTTTTCTGGAAAAAATTTTTAATTAAAATTACCTGGTTGAAAATGATATCCCGGACGATAATGATAATCACGTACGAAACCATCGATTTTTTTCACACGTACACCCATCAATCGACATACATCATCGAAAAGGCGGCAATAATCTTTACTTTTACCTTGTTTTTGTTCAAGAATCTCTGTGGAAATCAAATTTTTTTCAATAGTTTCTGAATTGAAACGAATATTTCTTGTGATCCATGTGAACAGGGCACGAATTTTGAACAGATCATTTTTGGCAAATTTACATACATATTGTGCTATATCTTGTGTACGAACAAAATCCGGTGCATCAAGCATTTTTTCATCAATATCACGAAACATTAATGATGATGGTATCATTTCATTTTTATGACATAATGGTGATCGGGCAGCATATTCTGGTGATTCATCTGTCAATATATCATTTGTGGTTTGCAATGAAACATCTCTTTTCTGTACGGCAGCAACAACAACATTATTAGTATTTGGTAATAATTGATCCAAAGATTTTTTCTTTCGTATATCATCCAACAGTAGAAATATACAATCCTGTACTTTTTGTTGTTTCATTAAACCTTTACTTTTTGAACGCCATAATGTTTCGCTGGGAATTTTTCTGACAATCGTTGGATTTATTATCGATGATGAATTGTTTGCTGTTTTTTGTTGTCCATTATCAAATTTTGATAATGTTTTCTTTACTTTTTCAACAATTTCATCCGGTTTAACAATATTGGAATCAAATTCATCATCATCATCATCTAGTGATGACAATAATTGATGAACCATTTGATCATTATCATTTGAATTTGATTTACAATCAACGATGGCTTTGGTAAGATTTTCACTTATACGTAACAATTCATGTTGATTCGATGGTAATGTCAGTTCGGGTAGAAAACAATGATCAATTGAACCAAATTTTGTCTGAGTTGAACGTGTAGATTTTTTCTTGGTTGCCTGCACGGCAACATTGATGAATAATCGTTTGGTAAAATTTTGTTGTTCCTGTAATGAATTGAATGTTTTATGGCTTGCTGCAAGTAATAATTCATCATCATCAACGGCATCATTATGTTTATCATTATCATTATCGATTATTTGATCATTAGTATTGATTTTGTTCGTTGATTCATTCAAAAATTGTTCATCTAATGCTTGAATCATTGCATCGAATTCTTCATCATTCATATTAATCAATTCAGTTTGGCTATATTGACATTTAAAGCCAATCGTATCCGAATCGGTTTGTACTTCACTATGAGTAACATTTGCATTATACATTGTACCATTGATATCCATATTCGATGAACTATTACCAACAAATCGACATGGTAATAAAATACGCAATGTAAAACCATTGATAATACGTGAACGATTTTGTTGTTGATGATTAACATCACCACCACCACCACCACCACCATTGTTGTTGTTGTTGTTGTTGTTGCCATTTTTATGAATCCATGATTTAGTTGACCAATTTTGTTGTTGTTGTCTTGCATTTTCGGAATTTGTTCCAACCGTAGTTTCTGTTGCATTAATCGGAACAATTTGTGTATTTGATAATGATGATGATGCACCACAGCCCATTATTCATGATTATTCAGATTTTTTTTTCTTTCTTCAAAATCATAAAATTCACACACACACACACACACGATTCAAATTCAATTGTTGTTGTTGTTGTTGTTGTTTGGCATACACAAAACTTGTGAACTTGATCTGACCGAAAGAAAAAAAAAAAAGAAAATAATCAACGTTATAGCCGGTGATGAAATGAAATGAACAAACAAAGCAGAAAAAAAAACAAAATTAATTTTCAAAATGATAAAAACAATCAAATTTATTATTTATATATATATATCATTGTCGAAATCATCATCCTCGTGTCATGGATAAAGTGACCGGAATTTAATTTCTTCATTTAATCTTGTTAAGTGATTTTTTCTCTCTCTCTCTCTCTCTCGGGTGTAATTTACAAAAAGGTAATGAAAATGAAGATTACCTTAGCTCATCGAGTGACATTCAATCATCGAAAGAATGTCCGAATGAATTCAAATTCATTGTTGTATGTCGAAAATGATTCGATTTGTTTCGATTATAATTCTGTTGATAAAGAAAAAGAACAAGAAGAAAAAAACAAAATGAAAATGAAAATGAAATAAAATGTATCATTCTTCTGCTTTCTGTTTGTCGTTGTTGTCGTAGTCATCAACATTGAAATCGATGATGAGAACCACAAACAAAACAAAAAAAAAAATTTTTTTCTCGTCATTATTATCATAATGAATGAATGATTAAATTCAGACGTGATCAACATTCATTCATCGTTTGTCATTGATCATTGACAAAATGAACGTGATTAGAATTGTTTTTTTTTCTATTATTTGCCGCAGTATTTAGTAATAAATTGTCGATTTGATTCATTCTAAAAAAAATGACCGAATAATAATTACTCATTTCTATCCTTTGGGTACAGAAACAACAACAACAATAACGACAAAAACATTCAAAATAGTGGAGTGATAATTTAATTAATAATAGTCGTAATGATCGTATTCATAGCATTACCTATATATTGGCTATCGTTTTTTTTTTTTTTTTTTTTGAATGAAATAACCTAACCAAATCGAATCGGATGATTAACATAAATGATTATTATGGGCAATCATCATTATGATTACCAAGAAAAAAAAATTGTTCATGGTCAATAAATACATTGAGTAAAAAGTTTAGCTTTTTTTCAAACTTACCTACCCCACTTTTGTTTGAAGATGATTCTTCTCTTTAGTTTAAAATAGGTAAATCACACACACACACACACATGGAGAAACAAAACAAAGAGAATTTGATTCAATTTGTTGTTGTTGTTCCAGATACCAAAAAAGAAAAATTCGAACAGAAAAAAAATGAAAACCAAATGCATGTAGCATTGTTTTTTTTCTGTTCTGTTTTGTTTTGTTTGTTTATTTGGCTAAAACACCATCGTGTATAAGTGTGTGTTGTTGTACATCAAGGTTGACATGATTTTTTTTTTTACTATAAGTCTCTATATATGATGATATTTGCTACAAAAGGCTGCAAAAAAAAAACTGAAACTGTCAAAAAAAAAAAAAAAAAATATGTCAACGTATTGTGCTGTGTAACGTCGTCCACCACCATTGACAATTATGTAATCCATATATCCATATTATTATTCTAAACATTTCTGCAATGCACATTGAACAAATTATTACCAGAAACGAAAAATCCAACTCTTCTGTGTCTGGTAATGTGGTTGCTGTTTTTTTTTTTTTTTTTGGTATGTCGTCCAGGAAACACCAACAACCAAATAATACCATCAGCATATATGAATTATACGCCATACACATACGATGAAAAAAAAGGTTTTTTTCCAGTACTTTTAAACCTGTACATTGATCATGATGATGATGATGATGACCAAATAATGGTCATTAGATAGATAGATGAATAATCATTATTTTTACAAAATGAATTAGCCAGCAATAATTATCGTTCGTTTTTGATAATGAAATTGTCCTTGAAATCGATAAATTATTATTATTATTATTATTCAGAATTTGGATTTCAAGAATAAAAATCATTTATTTGACTGTCGTAATCGTTTTGGTCGTACAGTTGTTGTTGTTGCTGTTGTTGGTGTCGATGTTTGAATTTGTTCACGAAGTGGTTCAAAATTTATCGTTGAAATCGTTGAAGGATTGATTGTAAAAAGAAATGGATCAATTGTTGTTGTTGTTTGTGGCATTGCACGTGCCACGAAACGACAACCATCAACACGTTGTGTACAATGATAAAAATGATTATGTAAATCATAACCACGTGAACGAAATATATCAATAAAACGATTTAATTGAAAACGTGCAAAATCAATATAAGAATCTCGTCGTCCAATATTGTTGAAATCTTAAGGAGAAAAAAAATTCATTTAGATTCAAGGTATTGAATTTTGAATAAAAATTTTTTTTACCATCAATCAATGTAGGAAAAAAATGTATAAATCGATTCAATGCCGTATCCTCTTCACGATAGGTTCCATCTGACCATGGTCTTATACCGACATTTGGATTTGAATTAAATTGTGGATCATATCCATTATAACCATACGTTACACCACCATAATAATTCGTACTTGGCGTCGGATATGGTGATGATGATGATGATGATGACGGTAAATTTGTTGTGCTTATTGTAACTGGATTTATAGTAACCGATGGACGACGTGTTACTGATGGTCGTGTTCTAGGTCTAGGTCGTGGTTGTGTTGTAGGTCTAGGTTGAGGCCGTGGCTGTGGTCTAGGTTGAGGCCGTGGCTGTGGCCTAGGTTGAGGCCGTGGTTGCGGTCTAGGTTGAGGCCGTGGTTGCGGTCTAGGTTGAGGCCGTGGTTGCGGTCTAGGTTGAGGCCGTGGTTGCGGACGTGGCCGATTCGTAATTGGCCGTCTTGTAGTTGTTGTCGTAGTCGTCGTCGTTGTTGTTATTGGATCCTGTTCAAATCCATCGCCACCACCACCACCATCTACATCATAGTCATCTTCACCACCACCATTATTATCATAATCATCATCACCTCCATTAGTATCAGTGTAATCACCAGTTCCGAAATCATCTGGAAAAAATATATATCATGAATTTCAAAAAAAACAAAAACAAAATTACTTATGAATCACCATTGATAGATGGCAGTAATGATTTAATTTTTTTCTCATAATTTTAATTATTGAATTACAAACCTTGTGCAAAAGATTTGGACACAAACACCATATAGATAATGATGATAAAGAATATGAATATTCGTGCCAATATTGGCGTTTTATGGCCAATGAAAATATTGATTAACATTTATTGATTATCAAAAAAAAAAACAACAACAACATTTGATTTGATCACTATGAATACTATGATGATAATGAATCAAAATAAAACAAAACAAAAATTTTTTTTTTTTTTTGTCATTGACAATTAATAATCTTTCATCAATTCAATTCATTTATCACTCTGTATTCAACGTTTTTTTTCCTCAATTAATAAAATTATTGGTTTCAGAATTTCGAAACATTTCTCATATTAACACACACACACACACACACACGCTGGTATCAATTTTTGATACTTAAGTAAAAGATCGATTACTTCATTGGCAACCATCTATCATCCATAGACAACAACAACAACGACAACGACAACGACAACGACAACGACAACGACAACGACAAAACAAAGACAAAGACATTTTGAATGAATCAACAAGTTGTTGTTGTTGTTGTTGTTTTGAATATGTGAAGGCGTTGTTTTCTGTTCCAAAAAAAAAAAAACAACGAGACGACGACGACGAAAAACAAGGTCAAATATCGGTTTGAATATTTCTTTTTCCATCATCATCATCATCATCAAATGATTGCAGGGGATTAATCAATCGAACGAAAAAAAAATCGATCGACGAATGATGGATCATTCAGAGAAAACAAAAATTCATTATGGTCATTTCATTTCATTTATTATTTTTTTTTGCAAATGATTCGAATTCCAATCCAGAACAACAATTGGGTTTTTATTTTAACAAACAAATGAAATTTTCGAATTTTTTCCAGCTAAAGAAAAAGCCAAAGAAAAATGTAACATTTTCCTCTGGTTGAATTGATGGATTGCACTATATTGTTGTTGTTGTATAGGTTTATGGTAGAGAATCGTTGAAAACGAAAAAAAAAATTCATCATCATTACTGTTGACAAACCAAAAAAAAATCAGCACATAATAAATGGTAAAAATAAACGAAACTACCACCAGCAACAGCAACGATTATCATCATCATCATCATCATCATTCACAACAACAACAACAACATGGTAATCGACATAAAGATGAACAAAAATGTAACAAAAACAATTGTTATTGTTATGATGGCTGTAAACAACCACCACTACCGCCACAGCAACAGCAACAATCATCATCTTCATCTTCTTCATCTTGGCGAAAAAAATGTCGAAAAAATTTTTATTTTTATCTTACAATCATTATAATGATAATAATAAATACATTATACATTCGATTCGTTGCATTAGAATTGATCAAATCCATTGGCATTGGTGTATTGATTATATCGCAGATTTTATTTGCACAAATTCTGTCATATTTAACGGCAACAGCATGTACAGATCCTGGCATTATACCACGTGCACAAGGTTATGAAGCAATATCCGTACAAAAAGAGATACGTAAATTATTATTATCATCATCAACAACGGCTAAATCGAATTCAAAAAAATCGATAAAAAAACAAAATTCACCACGTAGTTTTTCTCATTCACCATATGGAAAATTATCAACAATATGGAATGTGAATAAAAATCGTTTCAAAATGATTACCAAACCATTGATTATAAATGAACAATTTTTTCGACAAAAATATTGTTATACATGCCATTTTTTTCGTCCACCACGTTCATCACATTGTTCCGTATGTAATCAATGTATTGAACGTTTTGATCATCATTGTCCTTGGGTTGGTAATTGTGTTGGTAAACGAAATTATCGGTCATTTTATTTTTTTCTATTATCACTTTCGGCATACGGTATATTTACAAGTGCCAATGAAATTGCTTTCATTTTTATTGGTATGTACAAATGAAACGAACAAAAAAAAATGACATTTATATTACCACTCACCTCATTGTTTCTCGTTGTTTTTTTTTTTTGTTTTTGTAGAACACCAAAAAATTCCTTCATTTCTTGTCATATTTCGACTATCACCAGTTGTATTGGCATTATTATCGATCAATATAATGATTATATGGTCAATTTTAGGCTTGTTAGGCTTTCATACATATCTGTTGGTGACCAATATGACCACCAATGAAGATATCAAACAAACATTTGTTGGACGTCAACAAATAGAACAAACAAAATCATATGACATTGAATCAGGTTCAGGTGAATCGATTGAAAATCCTTTTAGCGATGGTTCAGCATATGGTAATTGTACAAGAACATTATGTTCATCTCGTTCGACGACATATATTATTTGAAATGAATAACAAAACAAAACCACCACCAGCAACCACAAGCAACAACAAGAAACATTTGATTGAATTATAAAAATGAAATTTTTTTTATTTTTTTTTACAAAATGATATTTATATACACAAGTAATGATTCAAAGAGATGACTAAAATAATCTGACAAAATAAAATAACGATGACGATGATGATGATTTGACATTGAATTTGTTTGTCTTGTTTGTTTTCGTTCTTGAGTGTGCACAATGTTGTTCATATATATAAATAAAATATAATAAGAAAAAGTTTACATTTGTACAAAATCGACCTGTTGTTGTTGTTGTTGTTGTCGAGGTTTAGATTTTTTTTTTTAGCAGCCAAAATACAACATTGAGATATTTGTTTCTTGTTCCGTTTGGTTTGTTGTTTTGACCAGTGAAACGTGAAACCATGATGATGCGAAAAAAATGGACAATGAAATAAAAAAAAAAGCCAAAGAATGAAATGAAAGGATTCGAAAGAAGAAGAAGAAAAAATCCCTATAACAACAACAGGTATAATGGTAAATTGTTCATCACAGATTTTTTTCGAAAAAAAAAAAAAGAAAAGAAACATTTTCAATGGAAAAAAGTCTCTATTCATCATCACTATTCTTCAATGTCATCATCATCATTGTTAAGAATCTTTCTCTCTCTCTCTCTCTGTTGTTCCGATGACACAATTCCGTTTTTTTTTCTTTTCTTATCTTTTATTGAAAGCCTGTTGCTGTTGCTGCTGCTGATGAATAATAATATATCACCCGTTGTCTGTATGTAATATCGATGATGATGACAAGAAAAAAAAAGTGTCCATGTTGTTTGTCATTGTAGAGATCATTAGCAAAATTGAATAAAATTCAAAAAGAATTTTATCATCCACTTTTGTAGCCATTTTTTATCATCTATAAATCGGCCTGTATAATAGAATGATAATTATCGAATGGATAGCGGATGACCACCACCACCACCATGATGATGATGGCCTAATTGATGATGATGAACCATTTGATCTTTTTATTGAATAATATTGACCACCACCACCACCACCACCAACATCATTATCTAGGTCATAATCTGTATTCATTTTATTACGATTATTATTGTTTATCATAATCTGATGATGGCGATTATGTGGATGATGATGAGATGGTGGCTGTTGTGGCTGTGATGATGGAACATTCATACGATGGTGATGATGAATTGGATTATTATTACGATCATTTATTATTGGATGATAATGACGATTATGACTTGACCATTCAATTTTTGCTTGATTTTTATTTTCATTTGGTTGTTGTTGTTGTTGATGATGATTATAATCACCATCATTATGATGCTGTGATGATGGTAAATTCATTAATTGATCATCCGTTTTGTGGTTATGATCGACAGTTCTGTTGATGGGTATGGCAATTGCTGGTGGCAGTGTTGATGATGATGATGATTGTGGTGGTGAAATTGTTGACGACGACAACGTTGAATGGTTGAATTCATCCAAATGGCTACAACGATTAATCCAATATTGACGCCTTAATCTTTCAATTGTTCCAGTGGCTTTCAATTCACGTATTACTTTATTGAATGATTGAATTAATGGTGATCCTTTTGGCAATGCGATAGCAAATCTTCTTGGATACAATGAACGTGTATCATATAACATTGTCAGATTACAATAAATACCGGTCAGGTATTCAGCAAATGTTGATTCCACAATGAATGCATAACGTCCTGCATTGACACGTTCAAAACCTTCTTTAGCCGAACGTACCAATGCATCGGGATTTCGAAACATCCATTCAAATATTTTTCTAGCTATTGGATCACGATGTTTTGATAGATGAAAATATGTAGCACCAGTTTTATATGTACCATATGTAAGAAGATGCTGTCTCTCAGTTGGCGGCAACTCTTGTCGATGATTAATCTCATTTAATGTTACTAAATCTTCCAATGTACGTAAACCGACAGCATCATCACGTCGAATTATGGCGGCCAATTGATTTTCAAGAAAAGCATCAGTAAAATCAACATAACGTTTACGTGCATCCGTAACAGTCAAATCGGCAATAGCAAAATCGGCTCTCTATACATATAAATAAATAAATATATAATCATCATATCACGCAAACAAACAAAAGAAAACGAATGAAAAATAAAAAGCCCATAAATAACGATTAATAAATAAATATATAACTAGTAAGGTCAAACGAATCGAATCAAAATCACATTAAATTATTATACTTACATTACGAAAAACTTCGCCAATCATTCCGTTGATATTATTACCATTATATTCAGTACCATATTTACCATCCGGTGAAAAATACAAACGATATTCAAAGCCAACTTTTTTGGCAATCAAATTCATCAGATCAACAACAAAACCTTCATATCGATCATTGATACGATCAGCATATGGCCAATTCTATGTATTTATATTTGTAAGAAAAAGAGAGAAAAAAAAAAAAACACCACATTAACAATACGAATGCAACAAGTGCGTGTATGTTTTTTTTAGATAAAGAAAAAAAAAAAAAATTGATTCAAGAATTCAACATCATCATCTTATTATCGATTTATTCGATTTGATTTGATTGCGTTTTTTTTCAAAGTTGTTGCTGTTGTTGTTGTTGTTGTTGTTAAAAGCGAATAATTTTCTCGCCTTTTTTTTCTTCACGAAAAAAAACTGACCAACAATTTGAATTGGCCACGCAATTCTTTTTTATTGCTTTTTTTCTGGTTATTGGTGTGTACACTTTTCGGCTCGGGTACACTTGTTTGTTTATTTGTTTGATTATCGCCTTTGACATTTGGGGGTCATGGTCTCTTTTGCTCTGTTTGTGCGTGTGTGTGTGTCTAGAAATATTTCTCTTTGACCAAATAGAATTTATAGACAAATTCATAAACAAAAAAAAAAATTTTTCTCACTCGACCTTTCATTTCACACTCACACACACACACACACCATTATCATATAAACAATGATGATAATGGTGTGGCCATCTGAAATCATCAAAAAATCGTCATCGAAAAAAAACGAAAATCTTGTTATTTAGTGTGGTCGGTTATCATCATCATCATAAATGTTTATTGTAGTTGCTGTTTGCATCAACAGAAAAAAATGGCCAATTTTCGTTTTTTTTTATTATTTGTTGCTGGTTTTTTGTTGTTGTTGTAAAATTTTATGACCATATCATCAAACAACAACAAACAATTCAGTGAATAAACACGGATTACAAATCCATTTGCGCGTTCGCCAATTTTTTTTTTATTCAATCGAAAAAAAATTACCAAAAACAAAACGAAACACAAAAAAAATGAATTTACATTTGCACCTCACACACTCCTTGCGCACAAACTGGGTAAATTATTTGCAAATTTTTTTTTTTATTCAAATTATGATGATGACTATATGATAATATGCATTGTCCATATTGATTAGGCCATATATGCACATGCATACAAAGGAAAAAAACATTTCGATAATTATATAGTTTCTCTCGCAGAAGAAAAAAAGAAGGAACCAATTTTCAAATTGAAAATTGACGTTTTCCACCAAAAAAAAAAAAATCTTCCACCCTAAATAATAATGACCAATTTTCATTTTTTTTTCTTTTCACCCAACTAAGGATTTCGTGATCAAAACAATTTTTTTTATCGTTTGTGAAAGAAAAAAAAAATCTTTATTCACATATTAAATACCGAAGACATCGCGTGTCATTGTGGCTATGATGAACGAAAAAATTAATCGATCACAATTTTTCATCATCAAAATCGATTTTTGAAAATTATTCATCAAAACGAATGAAAAAAAAAAATGAATGGTTGAATGATTACACACACACTTGAATATATAAAGTCGTTATATTGATGATTAACAATCGATCGATGAAAAAATGAAAAAAAAAATCTTAATCATCATACACCAACGCACCCGGATGAAAAAATCATTGAAATATCCGTTGATTTTTTTTTATTCATTATTGTTTTTCATGTGTCACGCAATGGCATTCAATTCAATGAATGATTCATAATCAAGTTGATTTGATTATTAATTAATCGAATAGAAGAAAAAAAACAATGATGAAAATTGTCATTAAAGGTAAAATTGTTCAGTCAAATCATAATTATTATATATATGGTGGCCTAACATTTGAATAAAATAGGAAATTCCCTTTTTTTTGTTTTTTGTTTGTTTGTTTGTGACCTCAGTAATGACTTGAAACTTTTGAAATTTTTAAATAAACGATCAAAACAAAAAAAAACTTACCCGAAATGTTACACCTCTTAATAGTGGATAATTTGGTTTTGCATACACCATCGATTGTTGTGCTAAATTCATTATGATTATAATGATTGGAATGATCTGTGTAATCATCATTCTTGAAGATAAAAAACAACGATAATGATGACTTATCGATGACATGGTTATGATGGTGGTGGTGTACGAGATATAGTAGGTTAAATTCTGATCACCAATCAAAGAATTGAATTGAATTGAAAACAATTGTTATTGGATGTGAATAAATCATTCGAAAAAAACCGGATCGATGATGAATCATAAATGTTTTCCGATTTTTGACAACAAACACACATACACACACACACAAGTGAAACAAATCACATGATGATCAATCAAAATTTATTTAAAGCAAAAGAAAATAAATTAAAGTTATCATTTTCTGTCTTTTTTTTTTTTTACAAAAGTTTCAATCAAAAAAAAAAAAAAAAATTTTACAATCGGTTATTGTTTTTTCTTTCAATTCAGATGATGATGATAATAATAGACAAATTCAACAGGTGGTCCTATCAATTCAGTCTTGAAAGAATTGATTCAGGTTAGTTGGTATTTGGTTAGATTTGATGCTAAATTTTTTTTTCAATGAAAGATGTGATTTCATTTCTTCTTGATGATGATGATGATGATGATGAATTCAATTTGATTTGAGAATTTGAATAAATAAAATAACGAATGGAAAAGATGGTGGAAAAGAGAAGAAAGTGAAAAAAAAATCCCAAGCTTTACTTATCAACAACAACAACAACAACAACAACAGCAAAAAATTCATTTATTCAACAGTCGCACAAATTTATATTTGGAACAGATATTATTATTATTATGGCAGATTTTAAGGCGTTGGTGGTTGTTGTTGCTGTGGTGGATGATGATGGTGAAGTTTTGAAATCAGAACGAAAAATCAAAATAAAAAAAAAAAAAAATAAAAAAAATGTCGAGATTGATGTGAATCGAATCAAATCAAATATAAAATCAAAATGAAATGCATACACACACCATAACACATTGGATGATAGGATCAGAGAAAAGAAACATCATTTTCTTTAAATGGACATGGAAACTAACGAAAACTAATGTCGAGAATGATGATGATGATGATGAATATATATGAAAAATTTTTTATTTTATTTTCAAAAAAACTGGCTTTCTCTCTCTCACATCTCACCACCATATCATATTCAATCAATTGAATGTTTTTTTTTCTTCTTCTTCTGAAGAAGAAAATCATCTGTTGTGTTCCGTTCGATACGGCAAACAAACTTTAAATGAACAACATTGATCGATTTATATTGGTATCACTAGAAAGATTTTTTTTTCTACCTTAAAAATTTTCTGTAGTAGAGGCAACATTTATGGTACTAGTGGTTTTAGTGTTCATTTGACCACCATCGACCGGTCGACCCGTCCGTCTGAATGATCAACTAAACGATGGATCAAAAAAAAAATGAAATGAAATGAAATGTGAATGAAAATGAACAACAGAACAAGCCCATTCACCTACGCGAAAATTTTTTTTTTTATATTTATTTCGTATCTGACAAATATGTGAATGAGAGAGATCAAGATAGTGGCAAGAGAATGAAGAAAAAAAAAGAGAAGGAAACTGGTATTTTGTCAGTCAATCACCAAAATACCATACTACAATACAAATACAAACAAAACAAAAAACGTTTTTCCATACACACACACACACAAAAATGAGCGTCGTTTTTGAGGTCCTCAAAGAATTTGTGTATTTTCCATGTACCTATTTGGCCTCTATGCCCTTGCTGTGTGTGTGTGTGTGTGTGTAAATATGATATTCATCATCATCTTTCAAGCTTGATTGGATTTTGAGATTTTTTTTTTTTGTTCGTACAAAATCCAATTTTGATCTTTTTTGATAACAACCAACCAACAGATGTGTATGATTTAATGGTTTAGATTTGACATGTTTACCCAAAAGAAAACACTATGGGCTACCCACTATTATCACCACCCCTACTACACCCACTTCAATTTGTAAAACACTTAATGGACTAGATATATCTATACAAATAACCTCGTATGGTGCATGTGTGTTTTTTTCTTACAAATAATGAGCGATGACAAATGAATGATTATGTTCCAAAAACACTTGTGTGGTGGTAAGCAACAAGTGTTTGTTCATATGAAAAAAAAAATGAAATCAAATCAAATCAAATAAATTCATCAGAAATTCAATTCAAATCACTTTTAATAACAACAACAACAACAACAAGCCATACTTGAGATTTTTTTTTTTTTTGAAAATTTTCTTTTTCTCTCGATGAACAACAACCACAAAACCTACGCATTTTTTGAATTTGCCAATTTTTTTTTAATATATTCCTGAATCATTATTTTTTCCATCTGTCATGCACAGTGATACAACCACAACAACAACAACAAGAAGGAGAAAATGAATGAAAATGATCATTTAATATTTGGATAAGACCGATGAATATTTTTTTTTCTGTTGATCACATTGTGATGTTGTAAAAACCATCAAATCAAGATTTTATTTTTTCAAAAAAATAAAAAAAATGGTCGATGAACACCAATGGAGCGCAAGAGAATAAATAAATGGACGAAAAATCGTTTTTGATATGCCGACTATAAATGATGATGATCATCATTTTTTTTATGATGATTTTATTCATTGTTGACCATTTGTTGATTTGATTCGAATTTTTTTTTTTGTTTTCTTTGGATTCGATTCATTCGTTTATCGGGTAACCATTACCATAAACAAGCGAACAAAACAAAATTCTGTGTGTGTGTGTGTGTTTATTCACAAATCTAAACCTTTATGTATTTATAATTTGTATGATGATGATGATGATATGATAATGATTGTGAATGGCAAACAACACCTGTGGATATTTTGCTTTGCATTTTTTTTTTTTTTCCTCCGACGATTAAAGTGTGAAACCAAAATCAAGATTGTGTGGAATACGGAAAAAAATTGAAAACAGAAAAAAAATCGTAAATTTCATCATTTCCTTGGCATTTTTTTTAATGCTTCTGAAATAGAGAGAAAAAAATCGTTTTTGTGTGATTTTTGTTTTGGCTTTGTTTTTGATTACCGGTATTATTTTATCACAAGTAAATCTTGCGACAAATTATTCACCACAACATAATGTTTTTTTTCAATTTTCATTTTTCGAAAAGAAATCATGTGAATAATCAACACTAATAATGATCAGTATATAATAATCATGTCCAGTCTTGGTTTGTCAATAGATAACTGAAAATCATTGAAAGAATTAAATTGAAAAAATTCAAAATGAAAAAAAAGGGAAAAATCCGATTCAATCAAAATTGTTTCAATCATAGGATCAATTTATTTTCAGCGATTAATCTTGGATTATCATCATCATCATCATCATAGAACGAGGTGTAGACAACAACAATAACAACAACAACACTAGCCCATAATGAAGAAGAAGAAAATGGATCGAATGAATAGTTCAGAGAGATTATCCATGTCCGTATTATTATTTTTATTATTATTATTGTTGTTGTTGTTGTTGTTGTTGAAACCTACACCTTTTTTCGTGTTGCCGCATCACAATTGGCTGAATTGATTGAAATAACCGATTGAATATACATGCACACGATATCTTTACTACATCTATTTATAGTCAACACTTGTTGTTGTGGATCATGAAAGCCATGATATGTGGATGAATGGCAATCATGTTGTTGTTGTTGTTGCTGAATGGAACAAAATCGGATTAGATTAATTCCACGATGATGATGATGATGATGATGAAAAGATCCAAACAACAACAAATGCTGCAAATCATCATAAAAAGCATCGACAACTTGTCAAAACATAATGATATGATTCGAAAATTGTGGATTAAATAAATCTGAATAATAAAGAAAAAAAAAAAAAAAATAAGTTTTCTTGAATATGCTTGCAAAAAAAATGACAATTTTAAATCAAGCACACCACACACAAAGATTTTTATAATCATCATCATCATCAACCTGATAATTATTTTCAATCATTCAACTTTGAACAAAAAAAAAAATCTCCAGTTATCAACATCATCATCCATCTTTCAATCTTGCAATAATTTTGCTTCAAACAAACAAAAATCAAAAAAAAAAATTTTTTCCCGTTTTTTTTCGTTTCATTCACCGATTTCTAGATGTTTAGTTTAAAAAAAAAATTTTTTTCTTAGTCTGAAGATAATGGATTTTTAAAGAGAGAGAGAGAGATAGATAGAAACAAAACGAAAAAAAAATTTTGAAATAAGAACTATTTTTAAAAACATATTTATCGATTGATGATACGCCCTGTAAATCCTGAAGATGATAATCACGGAAATGATTTTTTTTTCTTTGCCGCATCGAAAACTTGTGTCTTACGTAATCTTTTTTTTTTTTTTTTTTTTTTTTTTGATTCTCTACATTCGATAATTCGATGAAAATAAAATTCATGACCAATCATTGATCATGACAAATTATTGATTGCAACAACAACAACAACAACAACAGCAGCAGTGGAAAATGCGAATTTGATCAAAGAAAATTTGATTCAAATAAAAAAAAATCATCATTTACAATAGATTGAAGAAAGCCAAAACAATCGGATTAAATTTGATGGAAAAGAAAAATTTTCTCGGTCAATCAACAATCATTTTTCATCATACTGTAATATAAAGCAATGTGTTCCATATGTTCAAAATTGGCCAAGATCAAAAATCAAACCCCCACTCCCCGCTCAGCACCATGAATGTTATCCAAATCGATCACTATTATTCACTAGATCCTGATAATCATAATCATCGTCAAATCTAAATTGTTCATCTCAACAACAACAGCAGCATCATCATATAATTCTTGTCATTTGCCAACAACAACAACAATGATAATAATCGAAAAACGACGTCGACAACGACGACCCACACATACCACATGCTAACCAAGTAGAAAAAAAAAGTTTTTAAGGTTAGGTCGAGGTTGTACGTTATGGTGGTTCGTATTTTTGTTATTAAAATGGAGATGTTTTGGCCAATAGGCAGATACACACACACACAAACACAAGACAATGGCGGCAATTGAGAAAATAAAGAAATGAAACGAAACAAATGGGGTTCATTTCTTTCAAATCCAACAATCAAACATACACAAAAGGGATCAAACCCAAATAATTTCATTTTTGAATGGGTCAAATTAACCTTTGAACTTTTCTATAGAAAAAAAAATTTGTTGTTGTTGTGTGTGTGTGTGTGTGTGCAGGGTACG